CCACGCACGACTCTCCAAGGATTTTAGCTGTTCTCAACGGAGACGCTGATATCAGTTGAAAAGGATTCTTACTGAGGTGATCGATCGTCAACAAGGTAACGGTTTCTTCTTCGACTAAAGTGTACCTGGGACAAGCTGAGATACCTGACGGAGCGTGCAATTTCTGGTCAAACAGATTAAATTCCCTCACATAGTTCTCTGTAAGATAATCTCCATTTCATCTTAAACTCTTTTCTCTCTCACAAAAGTAGTACAGATAATTTAATGATATCTGATGCAAAGTCCTCAAATCACCGCCGAGTGATTTGAAGTTCATTTTCTGTGAAACTGTCTGTTATTATTTTCATATTTTGCCAAATTAATGTAAATGTTTGATGTTAAACTTTGATTCTGAAAATAAATGACTCCATTCATTTGATGGGTCAAAGATAATAACGTCTCTCGTTCGCATTTCTGTTAATTCAATGCACGGCATTACACAGTCAGAAAGATGAAGAACTCGTGAAATTGTATGCATATATATTTCATATATTTGTCATACTACAACAAGTGACACGTACCCACGTGACTCACTACAATTGTATTGTACACATTTTATTCAACAAATATGGTGTAAACATGAGCCAGTACATAAAACATGTCTCACTGTTTTGTTCACAAATAGCTCAGTTATTGGTGTGTGTGTGTGTGTGTGTGTGTGTGTGGGGGGGGGGGGTCAGCTTGTTTTCGATCACAGTGACAGTGTCCAGTTTTGCCCTGCACACAATGACAACATGTTTCCTCTACATTTGACCCATCACATGTGGAGGGGCAGCAGCAGGTGAGCAGTTGTCTTGCTCAAGGACACCGTAACATAATGACATGATTGGGAATCGAACCTGCGACTTTCAAGTTGCAAGAAGGCTGTCGTACCACTGTTCCACAGCCAAACCACATGCATGTTTCCTATACATCGTAAATCTTCTCACATCCAACAATAAGAGGAAATGGTACTTTTGTGACGGGTTTTATTAGTAACTTTACATGCACACTTTGCAATACCTCTTTTAAACAAGGGGATCATGACAAAACTATATTTTCTCTATTTTTATTTTTTAAAGATTATTGTGAAAATAAGACATTAGCAGTATTTTTTTTTAAATTTTTTTTACATGTATTTTGATTTTTGAAGAGCAGCTCAGGTTCTTAACTCTCATAATGGGACCTCATCTTGTTAATCTCTGTTTTAATTCAAATTGCATTAAATAAAAGTGCTACTTTTTATCATTTATATAATATAAAATCAAAATAAAACAGTTTAAAGTAGAACTAATATCAAGATGTTTCTTTCTTAAACGCTAGTTTCAAATGGTGGTATTAATTTATGAGGAGTGAAAAGACTTTTTAACTTTGCAGTTCTGAGAAAAAAAAATCTAAATACTATAATTAGTATTTTAAATTTCTTTCTAACACTTGAAATTCATTCAGCCTTTATTTAGACAGGTAAATCCCATTGAGCCTCCAGGACTCATTTTACAAGAGAGACCTGATTATTAAATATACACATATATATATATATATATATATATATATATATATATATGTGTGTGTGTGTGTATTAACAAACCCCATGAAACAAATATCCATAAATTGTAGCTTGTGATTATCCACAGAGAAAGGTCACGTGGTTTGGGTCACTGACAGTATAAACCCTTGAAGCCGGGTGTGCACGTGGGTGACGAGGCAGGGCCAGCCCTCTCCGGGGTCCCTTTGGTTGAAGTATCAAACATAAGCACCTTTGGAGATCCCGAGGGGTTCACATGAGAAGCAGCATCCTCGCGCACGGACTAACTTCCCCGTCAGCGGCGCAGCCATGTCCAAGTCTTTTTACGTTGACTCTTTAATAATCAAGGACCCGGTGCGACCTGGGCCGGCTGAGCATCTGGGACGAGACTTCCTCCTCCCCATCAGCATGCACACCCCGGGCGTAATGACGGTCACCGCTCCGGTGTGCCCCTCCAGGAAAAGCGGGACCTTCTGTGTGTGCCCGCTGTGCGTCACGTCCCACATCCAGTCCTCGCGCAGCGGCATCCCCATGCTGAAGAGCCACTTTCCAGGGGTGGAGGCTCAGTACTGTCAGAGGATATCTCAGCAGCAGTCTTCTGCGCTCGCGCACCCTGGACACACACCTGTCTGCACGCCCACCTTCGGCGTCACAGACCCGAGGAGGTACCACTGTCTTTCCATTGGTAAGCACCTGTTCGCTGTTGAATTTTCTGCGCGCACACATTCATGGCTCAACTTTTACGCACAAACGTTTCCAACCCTCTCATCCAGGCAACTCGGAGAGCAGCCACATACAGAACGGCAAGAGGATGCGCACGGCTTTTACAAGCACGCAGCTCCTGGAGCTCGAGAGGGAGTTCTCCGCGAACATGTACCTGTCTCGGCTCAGAAGGATCGAGATCGCCACATACCTCAACCTGTCAGAGAAGCAGGTGAAAATCTGGTTCCAGAACCGCAGGGTGAAGCACAAGAAGGAGGGCAAAGCCACTCAGAGGAACGCGCACGGCGGCTGCAAGTGCACGAGCGCGCACACGGACTACTCCAGATCAGAGGACGAGGAGTCTTTATCCCCGGCCTCTGCCACCGAGGACAAGGTGTCGCCTGTTTAGGAACAAGTCAAAGCCCCGCATGTGGCACGCGCTACCCACTGCCCTGCACGCTGCAGCCCTGGGTCAGCACCACACAACCCGAGCCAAAAAACACCTGCATGATTCAAAAAACTGTTCATAATAACCATTGTATATGTGATATAAATATTTAGGTTGGTGACATATTTGCAGCCAGTTTTGTGACGAACAAACAGTGGATTTTATTGTTTTGGAGGTGGAGGTGGGGAAGGAACGTGTCCATTTTTTTTTCTAATTATAAAAAGGTAAATGTAAATAATTGCAGATTTCATGAGTGAAAAAAAAGAAGCTTCAGTTAATGTTGGTCTAACAGACCTGGAGCCTGTAAACTGTTTATTTATTGTAATAAACATCACGTGTTGACCTAAGAATGTGTCAGTGTTTTCATCTACTGTGAGCCTAACATTATTAATTAAAATAGTTTGATTTATGTAATATATTATTATTATTATTATTATTTCTATCCAGGTCATTGGTGTCCCGCAGCAGTCACTGTCTGTTAGGATGTTTCACTCAAAAACACGTTTTAGTGCAAAAAGACAAGGAAGGAAAATGTCCAGTCGCTTATTGTTTATAAGGTGAAAAGCAAGTTCAACATTAGATCTACATAAATCAGAACTATTTATCATTTTGGTTTGTTTCTTTTGTTTTACAAGAACACAGAAGTTCTTCAACGCACTCAGCTCTTCTTGGAGCTGATGTTGGTTTTAATATGCGCTCGTTTCTTTTAAAAGCAGAATTCAGTTTCTGTGATGTCGCCCATTAAACCCCCAATGGACGAACTTGGCTATGAAAGTGTAATTTTTTTTCCCTTGGTCTTGACCACAAAAGGGTACCCGATGACGCCCCCGGGAGCAGCCAGTCGTCCATTTATGTGCTCTTTTGAAAAGATTTTTACTTGTCCAAAGCGAGTTTAATTGCGTTTTGGGTCCCACGTTGGTTGATTATGCTGCTGCTCCCTGAAACCACAGAACAAGGATATATAGAAGTGGGCTAAAGGCTTTGACAGGTTAGATTGTCCTGCCTCGGGACTCACATTTAGGCCGGGACCCCCGCCGGCTGCGTGCTCGGAGAGCTTTGAGGGACAGCTACGGGGTTCCTCGGAGCCACAGAGGACGATTTAGTCACTGTTTCATTAGGCACTATTTGAACCTTTCAACTTATGGTGAATTAAAGGGGACAGACTCAAATAGGGACAGGGATTAGGTGGGAGGGGCCACTGGAAAATTAGCTGACGCCCAATTTAACTCGTTTCTGTCAGAGTTTGGGATACATTCCTAATTGAGAGGGGAAGCAGGTGAAGTTTTGGTCCCACGCAGGCCCTTTCAGAGCAGAATAAATGGCCTCCTTTCACGTCCCGCTGCTGATCATAGATTATTTGGGGGGAAAGCCATCTAATGAATATATATTGAAGTTCCTATTAATTGAATTAGAGTTGCTTTGCAGGTGTGAAGGACCCTTGCAGCATTTAGAGAGATTAAGGATATAATAAACCAAAGTTTTAAGATAGACCCCCCTCCTATTAGCCCCACAGGACGTGATCTGGACTGTAAGGGTCGCTGTAATGAATTTAAATTCATTTTTATACAAACTGATAACATTGATCAGCACGGAGTCAATAAAACTATACGAGGCCGAGATTTTACCTTATGAAGAGAAACAAGAAACGAGAAGAAGCGCGCAGACGTTACAGAACACTGAAGGTGCAATTACACAGGACAAAGACAATTAATAAGAGCGCTTTTCAGCCGCTCGCAGCTGCTGGCTCACGTGGAGAGATGAGGCTGGAAGAAGCTGAAGGACCCGAAAGGATGATGGGCAGGGGGGGGGGGGGGGGGGGGTGAACACTCAGAGACGTCATTCGCTCCCATTGAATCACTGAGCCAAGGGTGAGACGTTTTAGAAGAGGAGTTATTCTGAAGGTGGAAACTTTCTACAGAGTCATGCATGAATGATAATGATGGTGCTGGTCCACGACATAACCACAAAAGATGAGATAAGATGAGATAAGATGAGATGAGATGAGATGAGATGAGATGAGATGAGATGAGATAGGATAGAACTTTATTGATCCCACAGAAAATTATTGTGCCAGAGTTTCAGTAAAAAGACACGACGAATCACACAAGATGTAAAAAATAACAGAGAATATAAAAAATAACAGAGAATATAAAAAATA